CTTTTGAACTAACCCATCGGGGGACCTTTAGTCCAGGTTGGTGTTACCAACCGGGACTAAAGGTTGAAGGACTTTTAGTCCTGGTTGGTGGCTCCAACCGGGAGTAAAGGTCCACCTTTAGTCCTGGTTGGTGTCTCCAACCGGGACTAAAGGTCCCCTGCCCAACGGCTACTGCGCTCGGCACAGTGGCAGGGGACCTTTAGTCCCGGTTGGAGACACCAACCGGGACTAAAGGTCTCTCTAGTCCCGGACGTAAAAAATGTCGGGACTAGAGCTCATTTTGGCTTCAGATGAAAGGTCTGTTCTCTACTAGTGAACGAAGTGATTCCTGCTTAAACCAAATACCATATAAACTTTGAAAAAAGAACAATTTCCAATATTAACATAATTGCTGACGCATACACTCAAACATTGCACAAACACGATACCCCTGTGGCCTATCGGTATCTCTGGAAAACATCGATGGCAATTCTTGATATTGATGGAGTAACTGCAGGCGCCTTTCTGGCGATGAACACATACTGGTCTTCCACTGAAGGACCATCGTCATTAACTCTTAAAATAAATCTAAGAAAATATGAGCATTCATACATATCAGGTCTAGGACTTCATCCTCTAAAATAAACCAAGAAAATATGAGCATTCATACGTGTCAAGTCTAGGACTTCACCCTGAGTGGATAGGATCCAACATAAGGGACCTAACTAGCTAAGCTGTGCTCAATTCGCAAGTACTAATATCTATGATATTGAGTAAATATTATTAGGGTAATTATGAAACAAATTGTTATAGTAAGTCTATTTGGAGACATAAATCTTTGTACTATTTTCTATAAATCTAGTTGAATTTAAGAAAATTTGAGAGTGAGGAGTAATTCCTAGCGCTTGCAAAAACTCAAGTCATGATAGAGGTTAACCACCATTGGAGATTGCATGCCTTGATCTCGAGATATGCGGGTCAACCTGGTTATATTATCTCTTTTCCACTTCTTTTCTAAAAAAGGCGTGAAAGCAAGCATGCATATCTTCAATTTGAGGCGTGGAAATTGGAGATGCATATATGGGCGGACAAGCAACGTGGGCGGTCGTAGTACATTATTTATATATATGTGCATGCTGACTTTACTTTTGCACATGAAGACATATAGACATACTCTCTCTCTCTCTCTCTCTCTCTCTCTCTCTCTCTCTCTCTCTCTCTCTCTCTCTATCTATATATATATATATATATATATATATATATATACACACACACACGTGGGCAGTCGTAGTACTCCGGTATTCCTAATAATCCTTGAACGCGCATTATTTCTAGCTACGACGACTTTGAGACATGCTGCAAGCATTATTTTTAGCTACGCGACGTACATCCTCGTCTTTAGATGACAAAACTTCTTGGGTATATATGTTGTACACTCGATATGAAGAGCACGTTGCGCCATGCAATATCAACATGTATGGAACAAAAAACTTTCCACCGAGTGCACGTTGCGTCCGTGGAATTTACACAATGTGTACCAACGCGGCGGACGAAATTAAGTACTACTCACGTTGACAAGCTGAGCACGCTATTTTAATTTCTTCCATTCAAACAACTCTGAATCCTCCCTATAAATAGGTGTTTTGGTTGATCACAATGTGTACCAACGCGGCGGACGAAAGTACTACTCTGAATGCTGCCTTATTTAACATGACGTCTAGGCCAAATGCTGGCACAGCGGCCAGGTGTTATTTGGACCCTTTTTACTCGCGACACTATGGCCTAGTTTGGGCTTTTGGCGTGGTGCAAAATAAACCACTGCCTGTGTTTGTATATAGAGCTTTAAATGAACTTGGGGATTTGATCTTAAAAGACTAGGGATATATCTTTGTCCATGCCAAAATTACTTTTAGGCTTTTAAGTAATGATTATTATTACTAGTATAAACAAATTGCTTGTTCTACTTGATGTTTTTTGCCCCTTTGCTATTTTGTCAATATATAAACTTCTGACTCATCATTTTTTGTTTGGTTTGTGCAATAGAATGGGTTGGTCCTTCATCACCTCATTTCCTACAAACAGATAATTAGTACTAGTACGAGAAATATGGTCATTCCACCAAATCTGGGCAATGGATTTATGTTGCACCACCTCATCTAAAATGAAGTGATTCCTTAAACCCGACACCCTATAAACTTTAAAAGAACAACTTCCAATATCATCTTTTTGCTGGCACATACCTTCAAACATCGCATACGAAAAACCTACCCTTGTGGCTTTCCAATTGATGGACATGTTTCGACTTCCACTGGAAGATCGTGCGTCAAAAATCCTATAATAAATTTAAGAAAATGTGAGCATCCGTGTCATGTCGAGGACTTCATTCCGAGTGGATAGGACCCACATAAGGGAACTAACCAGCTAAGCTATGCTCAATTTACATGTACTAATATCTTTGATGCTGAATAAATATTATTAGGTTAAATATGGAATATAATATTATAGTAAAACTATTTGGAGACATAAATGTTTGTACCATTTTCTATAAAATCTAATTGTTGATGACCAAAAACAGCTAGAGAATATTGTGATGATGTTTATGATGATGAAAAGGTCCCAAACATATTTTGGATCACCACATTGGGTCTTGGGAAAGAGGAAAAGGAGGCGTCCATCCTTGCCCAACCGGTGTGGCTGGCCTCCCTAACCGGCTAGGGCAGTTCCTCGCATTGTTGGCGGCTCGATGCTGCCCCCTCCCGCCCGACAGAAAACCGCCTAGCTGGATTGGAACCTGGCTAGGCCGGTCCTATACAACGCCTCCGCCGAGCCGGCCTGGCCGGTTCCCCAGCTCTGGCCGCCTGCTGGGCTGGCTTGGCCTCGACAAAACTGCCTAGCCTAGCTTGGGTCCTAACTAGGCCAGTTTCGTCTTTGGAGTCCGAGCCAGTCTCCTTCCAAATAAGGTTTTGTATCTATTTTCGTGTAGGAAACATGGAGAACATGTGTTGGACTTGTTTCCTACTATAATAAAACCATCCCTCTCTATATGTATCAGAGGATCACGGCCGATTCAAGGATCCAACACTCAATGGTATTTTTTGCATCTATTAACAAAAGTTTTGCCCCTTTTCCAACCCTCTTGGTGTTTGTTGCATCTCTCTATGAGATTCATCAGCGTTCTAGGTAACCTGTGCTGATCCTAGAACAACCCTTGGCGTGCTCCTCAACGATGGTTCCACTCGGGACATGTTTCTAGGCTTTCACGGCAAAGGACGGGCTCTTGATCGGCATAATCGATCTCTAGATCGGTTTAGTCGATCCTTAGAGTTGCTTGCTGCGTGTGATAGGTTGATTGCAATCTGGACATGCTATCCAGCATTGCTGGTGTTTGATTTGGATTTTATTCCGATATCGACTCTAATCAAAATTAAGAAAATTTGAGTCTGAGGAGTAATTCCTAGCGCTTGCACAAGTCATGATAGAAGTCGGAGATTGTATGCCTTGAACCAGACATGTGCCGAGTCTATTTATTGCTGAGTCTCTCTTTTTTCCGTTACCTAAAAAAAGTCGAGAAAGCAGGCGTGCATATCTTCAATTTGAGGCGTGGAAATTAAGCTGCATATCCGGCGCTTAATACTGCTTTTCAAAGTAAGGAACGGACAAGCAACGTGCACGCATGGTGACTTTAAGTTGCACATGTAGACACATAGATATACTCGTAGGTTTTGTTTGGATGCGTATGTAATCATCTCAATCCACATGTATTAAAATAGATTAGAGTGAAATTAAACTAAATTTCATTCCATTTCACTCCAACACATATTGATTGGAGTGAATACATATGTATCCAAAGAAAGCCGTATGTGTATATATATACACGTGGGTGGTAAACTTGGCCGCCGACGCACATATATGTATGGACGTACCAGCTAGATGAGCTACGACTTTAAGACATGCTGCATGCATTATTTCTAGCTACGCAACGTACATGCAAAATTTAAAAGTCGTCGTCTTGAAATGAAAAACTTCTTGGCATACATGTAGTACACCACATATGAAGGCCAAGCCATGCATGTGAGAATTATACCAGCATGCATGTTGGGGAAAAAAAACTTTCCACCGAGGGCACGTTGCGTCCGTGGAATTTTTACACAAGATTACTACTCTGGTTGACAAGCTGAGCATGCTATATTAACTTCTTCCATTGAAACAGCTCTGAATGCTGCCTATAAATACGTGTTGTGGTTGATCTCATGGAGGCACACACTGCACAGAAAATAAACACAGTATGAGAACACACATCGATACTAGCAAGCTAGCTAGCTAACTGCAACAATGGCCTCGTCCAAGAAGTCCATGGCAGCGTCCCCTGTGCTCCTGTTCGTCGCCATGGCTCTAATGCTCGCGGCTTGCACCGAGGCCCAGGCACCAGCACCGGCTCCCGCACCGTCCCAAGGTTGCCCTCCAGGCTTCAAGAACTATCTCGACCTGACAGATTTTCTTCGCAGCGTTGGCAGAGAGGCTCTTATGATTGTCGACCCTAGCTTTGTCTCCGACGTCCGTAGCATCATCTCGCTCATCCCGCACACCGGCCTCCAATTGTGTGTGTGCGTTGACACCAAGAATGCTACCTCGCCGCTCCCCGTCCAATGCCTGAGATACTAATTAAGCAAGCAACTAGCATGCGTCATGCGTGTTGCTTTACTATCTATCTATATCCGAATAATTTGTTGGTGTTTTACCTGCTGCATACCAGTGAAGCTGCGGTAAACAACAATTACAGCCTACTTATTATGTACTGTATGTGTGTGATGACATGCTTGTACCTGTGCTCAAACACCATACTATATATAAATACTTGAAGAATGTTACATGCTTGTACCGGTGGTTCCTCCGACGCCTCTCACGCTTGCGTTGGTTCTCCGTAGGCATGTGCCGAGCTTGTGGTGGCACCTGCGAAACTGGGGGAACCACTGGCCCGATAGGTTGAGGAGTTGTGATTGGAACATTCTTCACACGCCACCTTAGCACCGGGGCTTCACGTTCTCGGGGAAGCCAGGGCTGGAGGAAGCCTTCCAACTTGTGGAGTGCCTTCGGTGCGTCGTGTTGGCTTTCACGAGGGGGTGCAGCGTAGTCATGACGCCTGACCCACATGTTCCGTCGCGGAGGCGGAGCCATGTATCCTCGGTGCGTGAGTGGTGGAGTCCTGTGACGTGGCACCAAGGTCTAGCGCTCGTGTTGGGGACGATAGCTTGGCACGCGCCTCTCCGCCCCGCTCCTAAATCGAGCTGAGGAAGACTCTGGCGCATTCTGAAGTCTTCTCCCAAGTTGGGCCACCTGATTTTGTAGCCGACGGAGCTTCTCTTGCACATCTTCGTTACGAGGCGCGGGCTCTTGAGTTTTCAAAGGAGCAAACCTATTGGCGTTGGAAGATGGCGCGTCGTTGTAACATCCTCGGTGTTAAGC